TGAAAGAGGTAACTGGTAATGTGGCGAATAATTGTATAAGTATTAATGTTAGGTCGAAGATTGGTGCGATGAGAGAGTGAATCAAGAGCATAATTCAGTTTTTGAATAGTATTTTGACTCCATTGTTGCCTCCATATGAGCAGGTCAGCTCTGATTGTAGATGAGGTATCATCATGGAGATCTTGGACATATATTTTAGCAGCATTCATAATATTTTTATCGTCATACATATTTAATTTAGCCGGAATAAGTCCTTCAAGTGGTATAACATCAATAAGCCTTTGATTCAAACGAGCTTTCATTGATTCTAGTATATTAATTATATCCTATTATATTAAATAGTCAAGATACATTATACATATAAACACGTCCCATGGGGGGGGGGTTATAGCCCCTTAGCCCCCCCCCCTGGATACACCACTGTCTCCAGTTACACCTTCAAATTGCTGATTTTATATTAGCTGCATTATCAGTTATTACAGCAGTAAATTTATATAATAAATTCCATTCCTCAACTAGGTTTCTTAAAAAATTAGCTAAATTTTCACTTGTATGTTTTTCACCAAACTCAATACAGTCTAATAATACAGATGAAACAACTGTCTCATTTTTTGGATCAATAAAATGTGCTGTTAGGGATATAAAACTTTGGTTAGTCCTGGAAGTCCACCCATCTGTAGTCAAACACACAGCTTCAACATTTTTTAATCTATCCTTCACGCATTCAATAGTCATATCAAACATCTGAGGTAACAAACTTTGGGTAATTTTTGGAATAATGTAAGTTGGACATAACATTTTAATTAAGTTACGAAATTCTTCATCCTCCACCACACTAAACGGTTGGTATTCCTTCACAATCATTTTTACCAACTGTTAATCTATCATTTTTGATTTGCTCATAGGCATCGGCTTATGGATGAAGTTTGCAATAGAGCTTTGCTGTTTGTTATGTGGTCTTAAAAATGCTGTTGATGCTGTTGCTACTGAAGTAGATTGTTGTCTAATCGAATTTTGGTTCATCGATGTTGAGGGTTCTGGATCATCAATAATCTCAGAATTTGATTCATTAACCTATTATTTAGAAGTATTATTACCTATTAAATATTCATTATTTATTATTTTAAATTTTAACTGTAATTGTAACTGTTAATAGGTTGGTTGTGTTCATTTTTTAGGTAACAAATTTTATAAAAGTTAACATATCAAGTGTAGGATTGTAAAATATGCTTTTAAAAGTATTTAAAGTAGTACCTTCTTAAATGCATAAAGAAAATATTTATATACCTATATTAAATAAATTGTTATTCTTTGTATTTATTGTATTACCTATATTATAATATTTTTTTTAAAAATGTATCATTACCTTCTATTATTATAATTTATATGTCTAAATGGCTAAATACAATTTTTATATCATGTCTATTAATTATTGCATAATTTGATCATTGATTGCACTATATCATATTTTGAAATATTGATCTATGAAATAAAGTATATAACATAATAATAAAAATAATAATAAATATTATAGCTAATCAGATTTTATAATATAAAAAGATTCTGCAAGATTTGTTATTTTGATTTCTATTAAAATAATAAGACACAAGTATAAAATGTAAAAGTAGATAATGTATTCGTCACCATTTAAAAGTATTATTTAAATAGTCCTCAAACACAAATAAGAAAAAAAAGTATTTGAATACTAATAATAAAATACTTTTATTTAAAAAAATACTTGACACATGTGATCAAGTATAGATTTCTATTGGAAAAATTTATTTTAAATTAATATTTTACTTGGTCATTTCTCTGTAGTGGAACTGTTGGATGCTTCATTTTTAAATGTCTCAACAAATTTCCAGTAGATCCTCCACTAAAACTTATTTTGTACGAACAAACATTACATTTCGCAATGTTATTTTGTAAAATGGTGTAATGGTACCATACATTACTACGTTTCCCATTTAATGCTGTATTATCAGTGTTTGACGAAGACATAGTTATACTACTAAGCATCTAATAATTGAACCGAAATAAACATTTTTGATACTTTTTGATATTTAATAAATATGAACTTACTTTTGGAATCCCAATATAAAAACAACATTCAAGACAAATTTATAATTTAAATTCTCTAACCTTTTCTAATAGAACTAAATAATACCATTAATCACTACATAAATCGCTCATAGAAATGAGTCGCAAAAATATTGTTATTCGATTTGTGAACTAACAAATGGAAGACTCAAGACAGTAGATACTGAGTTGAAAACGACAGCATAATGTTATAAAAAGAATGATGAAAAATGAATTGATTAAGTATTAATGAAAACATTTACACGTGTCATTATATGTTTATTAAATTTATGAGGATTGCAAATGGTTATCATTAACATTTCGTGACAGGAATATACCAGTTTTAAACTTTTTGTTTCACACACAAATATCTACTTTCTTTTTGTAATATTATGGATTAATCACTTATTGAATATAAAAATGCTACAAAATGGTATTACTTATTATGTTCATATTTTTTATTTACTAAATTAAGTTTTGTCTTTAAAATTGTTGATATTTATTGTATAAATAATGTATAACATGATTTTATGCTTGGTATTCTTTTGTTTTAACTTATCTTGGCCATTTTTGTAAATCAAATAAAAATAAATTGTGTATCAAATATCAGTATTTTTTAAAAAATTCCCCTGGAATCTAACTTCTCACTTTCCTTGACAAAAGCAGTGACAGCTTTTTTGGGAATCATATTTAATATACAAAATAATTTCAACACAAATGTATAATATTATAAATATATTAAATTATATTATTTTTATTATTTCATAACACAAAAAATAACATATCTTGCACATTTTTCATGAAAACATCAAATAAAAAGACACAATATTCAATTAATAATCATTATTTATTGAAAAAACTATTACTACTAAATTGAAATTTTTAAAATACATTGGCTATAACAGATTTCCTGTTTTATTACATGATTAAATTATTTAAATGATCATTACTCATTTAAATGATTTGTTTATAATATTCAAAAGCATTGTTAGTCATAAACTTAATAATTTATTCAAATTAAGGTTTAATAAAACAATTATTAATATGTACAAATAATATTTTAAAATTATAATCATAATTATATAGGTATTGAATTTGTCAACAAACAGGTGACTATTACAAGTATATTAGTTACTATAACAAGTATATACAAAATGTACACCTTCTTTAAGCAACTGATGTATTGAAGGTGTTACGTTCTTATTTATCTCTTGGAAGATTTATAAAATCTAACTTGTTAACACAAGTAACTAGGCGTTCAACAACTTTTCTTAGGAAGGGGTATATTGTAGGTTCAGAGATTCAAAAATAGAACAATAAAAAAGATCAGTTCGTTAAAAGATATAATAAAATATGCATTTTTAACTACCGATAATCTATAATAGGAATAAAATATAAATGATATCTAGTATTAGACGATGGTCAAAATGAATTGATTTCCTCCACGAATTGAATTTCGTTAGAAATTCTCTTCTTAAAAAGAACTATCGACTGCGCCAATTTGTTGCGTGCCGTCGCTCAATCGTAATTGATGGTTAAGTTTTTTAAAGGATAATACTTCAATAAAAATACTCAATTGTAATTCAAACTGTTTATTCAGTACAAAACATTAATTTAAGAAATAGTGTGGTGTGAAGGTGCTTGCGACTGTACCTGTAAACCACATCTGCCTAATAGTCTGTTCGGGACTACATTATATACTCCGTTCCTATGGGATATTTGACCCGGACATAGTTTGATGTTAATATTAATATTCTAGACCCCCTTCGAAAAGTATCTACTAGCCAATTTTATGATACCTTTAAGGACATGTTTTTTATATTGTTTCGGTCATTTGCAAACGATGCCAATTTTATAACCTTGTGAAGGCACGTCCTGTTGTTGTTTCGGTTTTTGCAACAAGTTATTTGTATGTAACTCCACTGTAAGATTTGGATATTCACAAGGGCATATATTATGTATGTCCACCACGTAGATATCATGGATATAGTGTAATTTGTATTTGCGTGTGTAAGAATGTATATTATAATGCAAGCCCCAATGTTATTTATGTGGACCCCCATGTATTGGTAGTCGTAAGAACCTACATTTATGTATGTTCGCAACAACAATTTGTAAGCAATTATGATTTTTGAATACACCACAGTACCAAGTACCAACCGGTTTATTATTATTTTTATTTCCGATAAGGCGATAATCGGTGGCTGTAGCCTGTGTGCATTTGTACGATCGCAGGTCGCAGTGTTTGGATTTATACGAGTATGCAACGTACATTATTATTATTATTATTTTCATGTTAGTATGTTATAGAATATAGATCTATAAAGTATAATAGTAATATTGTATGCACTTATTTAATTATTTTACAATGGAAATGGATCTGCCTCCATTTTCTTCAGGTGCGAATTTAAATATTAATATTTTTTGTAAATACATTATTGAACAATTATTAATAAAATCGTTTGGATCGTATACTTTTGTTGAAAAACAGAATATTATAAATAATGGTAGACCAATTTCAAAACTTTTAGATTTAAAAACAAAATGTAAAAAAAAATTTCCGGTATTATAACTATTCATATTACGATTCAAATAAATGGCTATCTGATTGTCAAAATACTCAAAAACTATACTGTTGGCCTTGTCTTTTATTTTCACATGAATCCAATGTTTGGTCGAATATGGTTGTGATGATTTAAGCAATTTTCATAATTTAAAGCATCGTCATAAAATAAGTCGTTCTCATATTGAATCTTTAATTACTTTAAAAAAATTTGGTAATGTAAGAATAAAAACATGTCTTAGTGAAGCATATAAAAAAGTATCGAAAAACATAATGAGACTGTAAAAAATAATAGATATGTTCTAAGTTGATTTATTGATGCGACATGTTATTTAGCAAAACAAGAGCTTGCTTTTCGCGGACATGATGAACAATTAACTTCAGTTAATAGGGGAAATTATAAAGAGTTCATAAATTTGATGGGCACACTTTATCCTAAACTAAGCGGACATCTTGCAACATCTACCGATTTTTCTGGTCTTTCTGGTGATATAGAAAACTATATGATTCAGTCGATTTCTAATTGAATTATAACAAAATTAGCTTCATTGATTTTAACTATTCCAGCCATAACTGCAGGTGCTGAACGATCATTTTCAGCTTTAAAAAGAATTAAAACTTATCTAAGAAACTCACAATCTCAAAATAGACTTTCGGCATTATCCCTTTTATCAATTGAAAAAAAAATGTTGACCACAGTTCAAAACCAAAATTCTTTCTATGACGACGTTCTTGAAGACTTTACCAAAAAACCAAGAAGAATTGATTTATTATTTAAATAAAATTATAATTTGTACATACATTTTTGAAAGTTATAAAGTAAAGTTAAAAGAAATTGTATATATTTTTTACCAATTAAATGTATTTGACTGTAAAAATACTAATAAATTTCCAATAGGTACATTAGTTTTTCTGCTTACACTTTATCAAAATTCACGATACGCCACTGGCATGAAGGCGATCGCGCTTTCGTATTTTTGGTGGCCGGGAATTGACAATTATATTGAAAACACGGAGCGCAATTGCGAGAAATGTATGCAGGTTAGACCCGGACCACCAAAAGCAGTGCTAACACCATGGAAGTGGCCGGAGCAAGTGTGGACATGCATACACGTAGATTTCTCAGGGCCTTACAAAAATAAAATTTTTTTAATAGTTGTCGACGTGACCTCAAAATGGCTCGAAGTGTTCGAAGTAAGTACGAGTACGGCGTCAGTGGTAATCATAAAAATGCAAGAACTTTTTTCTCGTTCCGGGTTCCCCAAGGTCATTACCAATATCCAATTCAATCAACAAAAACTATGTAAATTAACTCATCTTGTCGAACCCAAGTATAATCAAAAACACAGACCCACATTTAAATATTGAATCATCTTATTCCCAAGTGATAAAAAATAAAACCTATTCTAACAAAAATAACCAATACCAGCCAAACCAAACTACCGAGTGTGTAAATAACCTAACATCACAATTGACTACATTCATAAATGACTTAAAATCTATTATAAACCCTATTATATCTTTTCTAACTCAAGTAATTAGTCAAACACATCTCAAAATTAATAATGTTTATTAATCCTAACACCACAACTCCTTTATCAATGATTCTTTGGAATGCTAATAATAGGCGCAATTTCAATAAAAAAACTGAGGGTGCTTAAGCTCTGTATTTATTGGGTATTTAATTTATATTAAAACTATAAGAATTTAATGAGCCGATTTTTAAATAAATACAAATAAAGGTTCCTTTTTAAAATTAATTTAAATTAGGGTTTCGGTCAACTAGACAAAATGTGAATTGACGTTTATCGAATAACATTGTTTTCATTTATATTTCATTACAGTTTTATACTCTAAAAGTCAAATGTCTGATGACAAAAATAAGTTTTTGATACATAAACACCAACATTATTTGAGGGTGCTAATTGTAAAATAGAGGGTGTTAATACCCCCTAAACCCCCCCTATTTGCGCCTATGATGCTAATGAATTAAAGAAACACGCAAACGAGCTTTACTACTTTTTACATAACAATAACATAGATTTAGCTCTTATTTCGGAAACTCATCAGACAAAAAATACAAATTTTAAAATTAATGGCTATAAAATAATTCGCGTAGATCATCCCAACGGATCAGCGCAAGTGGGTGTAACTATTTTAATCAAATTTTCAATCCTTTACACCGAACTCCAAAGGATAAATGAACCATATCTACAAGCTGCAAATATATCAATCAATTTCAACAATTGTATTCCTATAACTATATCATCGGTCTATTTCACTCTCCCCAAACAAAACAATGTTGTAAACTACCAAAGCCAGCAAATTTCAGAACCAAAACTACAATAAACTAAATTTTCTCTTTGGAAACCAGCTATCTGAAATTTTCACTTCCCATTCTTCCACTCTATCAAACAATGACCATGAAGATTCAGTTCATTTTTTTTATATGCTCCTCTACCAACATCACTATTAGCTAAACCATTAACTCTATCTGAAATATTCATAATAATTAACAAATTACACCCTAAAAAGTCTCCAGATCACGATTTAATCACCAATAAAATAGCTTAACATCTTACAAAAAAAGCAATACTTCTGTTAACCCATATTTTCAATGCCATGTTGAGACTATCTCATTTCCCTCCAACATGGAAATAATTAATTAACGTCATGATTTCCAAACCAAATCAACCCAAGAAATTAGTTACATCCTATTGACCAATTAGCCTGTTACCTACATTTGGTAAATTATTCGAGAAATGTTGGGCTTTGGTTCGTAAATATTTGGCACTGACGTATTGCATGGGTCTGTTTACATAATGGACAAGGTTTTGACGGAGTGGCAGACTGGTGAGTGGTTGCAATCAGTACTTTTGATGAAGATGTAGGACGCTGACATTGGGTGGATTTCGATTTTGCAGAGGATTGGAATTGACCAGTAGAACCTTGGATCACTGCAGAATAAAGCCCTGGCCGAGCTTCGGCGAACCGCACGTGAGAACGCAAGAACTCGACGAATTCAGAAATCTGTGGTTGATGCCGTTCACCGAGAATCATTTCCCACCGAGCACGGAGGTCGTAATCCAAATATTTTTCGAAAATATAGATCAAGATAGGACTCCATAGCCGAGTGGTTAGACCCAGGTTGTCCAATGCAGCTGTATGTTCCAGAATTGACTGGATGAGAGATTTTATGGAACCTGCATCGTTAGATAGCACAGAGTGCGGAGCTAGAAGAGCTTCAAGATGGACTCTGGCCAAATCTCGCTTATTCCCATATCGGACACGTAATAAACCCCATGCACTGGAGTAGTTGGCGGCGGTCAGTGGAAGGTGAACAACAAGTGATAACGCTTCACCTTCGAGAGATGTTTTTAGAAATTCAAATTTCTCCACGTCCGGAAGATCTGCCATGTAGGACATGATTGAGTTGAAAATGTCGTCGAATCCCTGCCATTCCGTGATTGCACCAGAGAACGTAGGGAACTTGCGTTTTGGTAATTGATAGTGAGACAGGTTTGCAATACTGTTATTTGGGTCCGTGTTCGGAGCCAATGATCGATCCTGGACTCGTCCCAGCGTAAAATGATGTACATCAGAAAAGGCAGTGAGTTCGTAATAGAGTTTATCGAATGCAGCGGAAAGTGCCCGACTGTCCTTTGTATCGGTGATATCCGTTGGCGCTGTCCCTTGACTTACTGCCCGTTCCATGTACTGGATATCTTCTTCGACCTTTGCACGGATGTCGTTCACGTCACGCAGCATGTTGTCAACCTTTGAACGTTTGCCGGTATTTTGAATATCAGCCTTGTATTCACCGGCGGCGACAATGAATGAGGTAATGCGATCGGTACCGCGGATAACCCGTGCCTTAGCTTCAACGTAACCAATTGATGCGGGAGGCACCAGTGTAGAGGGTAAGATGAGATTACGAACTTGATATGATTGCAGATGATGGAAAGTATGACGTGGTCACGGTTTGTTTCCTTTTATCCGGCTCGAAGGACCAATGGATTGGGATGAAAGATTTTTGTTGTAATAACACAGTTTTATGATTGTGTCACAATGACAAATATGATTTTTTTATTTTAAGTTCGTGACATATGATATAACAATATTTCTGTAACACGGTGTGAATACGAGTTTAAGGTATAGACATATTTAAGAAACAAAAAATCGCATAACGCACTGGGCCGCGACAGCCTAAAAACACGATAACGTACCGCACGACGGGGACAGAGAACCTAACGAACGGTATGACAGTCGGTGCAATGCCAGAATACTCCGACTATTGCCCCATGAACTGCGACAGCGATATCGATCAGTACAATGCCGGAATACTCTGATTATTGCACTATTGACCGATATCAATACCGTCCGATAGGTTCGGGGGGAAAAATCTTTCACCTGAGAAGCGTAAGTCTGCCCGGGTCGGTCTTACTACAGCTCAGGTGAAGGACTGGTTGCCGTTTGTCGGTCGAGCGGCCTTTTATATGCTGGTTTATCGGCGATTACACCCGTCGATATCGTGTTCTGTGACTAACTTTGGGTCGCCGGTCCCGTGTTCTGTGACAGAAACCCGAAACCGCAAAAGTGCAACCGCCGAACAACGCATATAATAATACATAGTAATTAAAATGATAATAATAATTATAATAGTTAAAAAAGATAATTAACGTAATAATAAGATAAGTTATATAATAATAATAATATTAATAATCATATTAAAGTATGATAATAATATATGGCGTAGACAATATGATAAAAACAAAAATAGCTCATTTATGAATGTAGATACACTGCCTCTATTGAAGATAAACTACTTATTAATATTTTGGTCGGCGGAGGGTGGATGTGTAACATGTGACTGGAAAAATAGCAATATTATTATAAATAATGCATAACTTGCCCTTTACAGATTATCACATTCTATCGCCAATAGTCTAATTATTTCTAATTAATCATTATCAATTTTTATTTTTTTAAAATAGCTTTTGAAGAACTGTACAAATATTTGGTTTTCGAACTATCGTGGCCAGTAAGTCTGGTTCAACAAAAATTTTCAAGTTCGATTTTCGAACCGAACCGAACAACAAGTGTTCGGTTCGGTTCGGTTTGAGATTCAAACAGTTCAACCCATTACTAAAATTGATAAATGATTTGTATAACATTAAAATTCGACAACATTTAACAAACCATTATGTTTTTGGGTTGCACTTTTATATCTTAGATAAATAGAAGAAAAAAATGTGTTTCCGTTCTGCACATCATAGTGATAAAGTATGATTTTACTTGAAATTCGAAAAAATTTACATAGTATCGATAAATATCTTAGTAAATTATTGACAGTGAGGACTAGTGTTGTTTGTTGTAGTTTGTTATGCACAAACAATTAATGTACAAGTGTAGTTTTTATATATTTAATAAGTATACTCAAGTGTTTTTTAAAACAGAACATTTAATAAATAATCTTTTTTCCTTCTAAAAAATCGATAACTAGTAGTTTACTATAAAACGTAACACTTAATAAAATCTATCAAATATATAGAGTAGTATCCATTAGTATTCATTCGTAACGAACTAGTAAATTCTTTAAAACAATAAAATGTATTTGCTTAAGCTTTTAGTTTTTCAAGGAATACAAATACTCGTCCGTGCAACAGAACCATCGGTAAGTACAAATGTATCCCGTGTGAGAGATGGTGAAAATCAATCGATTGATTCAATCAGAACAAATGGTCTGGAAGAACAACTGATTGCTGAGGTGACCAACTATTTCATTCGGATGAAAAAAATTGACTCATTCATATCTCAATATTCATTACCGAATTATAAATGTGGTAATTTAATTCGTGATACAGATGTTCAAAAGTTGGAGTACATTATATTTATTTTATTGAATCGAATGTTTGATCATTGGAACAAAGTACTACCCAAGAAGGAAAATGTTTTAAAAAATACAAACCTAGAAACAGATATTTTTAAACTATTTCAAACAGACTATGTACAAATAATATGTAAGCATATTCCACGATGTCTTGATTTTATCTACATTTGTGCACCTACTTATACAAACTTAGGAAAAATATTTTTATTGTATTCGGAAATTTGTTACTCCCGCGATAAATATGTATCAAATTATATTGATCATAATAAATTTCTCGGTAATAATAGAAATAACACCGACCTTGTTCTCGAACGCATAAATTCGTTATACAATAGTCTATCGAAAATTAAGTCTATTTCTGTAGAAATCGATTCCAATTTCGTAAATGGTGACCAGATTTTTATAAAAAATATATTCAAAACAATTAATGAAATTGATAAAACAAATATGATACCAAGTAGTGATTGGTATAAAAAATCAATTTTAGTTAATTATTCAGCACCAGAAATGTTAAAAATTCGTTATTTCCGGACAAAACATTTGATTGTTAACGATGAGAACAGGAATGAAATTAACACACTCGTTCTTGGTATAAAAAGAATCATTCTTGAACGTGGAGTAAATTTGTTAAATCTTTATAATAATTATGAAGTACTAGAATCAGATAAAAATTGCATAATTAAATACAACTTGGCATTAAATGAATTTTTACTTAACGTTCTCCGGATATTTAAATATCATTTCCGAAGAAGTGTTATAAGTAGTATTATACAATTTTCAAACACAAATAATCAATCTCGCTCTATCATGAAGAATATGCTTGAAAAAGCACTATCGATTAAAGTGCTTCATAAATTATGTAAAAACATTCCTTTAATTCTGTATTATTTGTATAATTCTCATATCATAGATCTAAACGTATTCAGTTTGTATTTAACAATATGCAGTGATTGGAATCAATTTTTAATTAAACGATGTGTATGTTATAAAAACTTCAAAGGTAAGTGGATGTACGATTCGCAATGTATAACACAGTCGATAGATGAAAGATTAATGTTAAATTATTATATGATTACACAAAAGGCGATTTTTGATGAAAACAATATCAATAATTTTCCAGATCCAGATTCCTTGGAAGCGATTACTCAAAGTATCCATTATATATTGGAATCATTTTATAAGTATAAGAAGGTTTTTATATGGACGTCATTTGATTGGTTAAGCTCAGCATACATATTTATTCAAAGCCTAAGTTCCTATGATATGAAAGAAATAAGAGAGCAGACGGTAGTATTCGGTTTAGAAAATATACCAATGACGATGATATATAATCAATTATTACCTTGGAATACAAATTTAAAAACACTAATTGATTTTAAAACCATAGTTGAAAATTTTTGTATGCATAAGTTATTCCAATACGTTAAGAATCAAGCAGTATATATTATTATTTATTTTGAAATAACCAACCTAAATGATGTCAATGACGGTGTATTCACGCGGCTGCAAAAAACTACTAAATGGTATAAATTGGGAACAGAGGAATTGTTTATGTTCATGGAATCGACCATTGAGGGGTTTAAAATTCCCGATGAAATTAAATCGATTATCGAAGAAATAGAAAAAATTAGCGTTGATACTATAGGTCAGTTCAGAGATTGTATGAATAATATAAAAGAGGAATATAAAAAAAAATCGCGGTTTAATGATATTTTATCAAATATGAATTCTGATTATGTAATTAAATT